GCAGAGCTCATTTGTGACATCTTAATCAAGGAAGGTACTTTTTAAAGTAAATATGCTAATTACAAGAATCTATTTATGAAACATGCAATGCAACTGTACTTGTAAGCCTCTTAACTCTACAAAGCCCCCTTCTAATAGGATACCTCACCAAGGGCCTAGAGGCCTGAACCAAACCCTAGGGCACTATATATAATAGAGGAAAAACTATCTAAAGGCAGACATTTACTTTACGAGAGGTGGCAAAAAATTAGTGAGCATTGCACACACAAAGAAAATCATGTCAATAAGGCCACTCTTACATTGAGTTGTTGGAATAAAGTTTAAAATAAGGTAGTTCTTTACACGTTCACTTCAATTGCACGTTCGACATGAATTCTGAGGGTTGCAATCCTTCGGGTTGTTAGCATTTCCTGTTCAGTAAACTGTCCTGATTGATTCATGAAGGGAGAGACATTCACCTTGACACCTTTCAAGGCTAACATTTCTTGAATATTGAACCCCCGATCTGCCATGACCTCATCTCCTCGCTGTAATTTGTCAANAATAAGCTGAAAATCTGCCAACACAAGACTTGAGGGCACACCCCTTTCACCCCACCCCTTCCCTACTGGAACTGGTAGCTTAGGTTAATGCTAACAAAATGAGGATCTTGTGTGATTAAAAACAATGACATGTAGCATGTAGCCTTGTCCCATGTGTTCAACGCAGTTATTCTGTATTTTACTTTTACATATTTGAAGGCAGAGCTCATTTGCCACATCTTAATCAAGGAAGGTACTTTTTTAAGTAAATATGCTAATTACAACAATCTATTTATGAAACATGCAATGCAACTGTGCTTGTAAGCTTCTTAACTCTTCAAAGCCCCCTTCTAGTAAGATACCTCACCAAGGGCCTAGAGACCTGAACCAAACCCTAGGGCACTAGATATAATGGGGGAAAAACTATCTAAAGGCAGACTTTTACTTTACCAGAGGTGGCAAAAAATTAGTGAATTTTGCACACACAAAGAAATCATGTCAATGAGGCCACTCTTGCATAGAGCTGTTGGAATAAAGTCTAAAATATGGTAGTTCTTTATACATTCAATTGCATATTCGACAGGAATTCTGAGGGTTGCAATCCTTCGGGTTTCCAGCATTTCCTATTTAGTTAACTGTCCTGACTGATTCATGAAGGGAGGAACATTCACCTTGACACCTTTCAAGGCTAACATTTCTTGAATATTGAACCCCCGATCTGCCATGACCTCATCTCCTCGCTGTAATTTGTCAATAAAACCAGATTTACTGGTTATTACCTTATCAGAAATACAGCCACCATAGAGATCTGAAATAAAACAAACACTGCCACTTGGAGTAATACTGACCAATGCCTTGAGGGTATTAGTGTTCTTGTAAGTTGAAAATGTGAGCTGTTGTGCTTCTNTGATTGAAAACAATGACATGTAGCATGTAGCCTTGTCCCATGTGTTCAACGCAGTTATTCTGTATTTCGCTACCACATACATTTGAAGGCAGAGCTCATTTGTCACATCTTCATCAAGGAAGGTACTTTTCCAAGTAAATATGCTAATTACAAGAATCTATTTATGAAACATGTAATGCAACTGTGCTTGTAAGTCTCTTAACTCTACCAAGCCCCCTTCTAACAAGACACCTCACCAAGGGCCTAGAGGCCTGAACCAAACCCTAGGGCACTAGATATAATAGAGGAAAAACTATCTAAAGGCAGACATTTACTTCACAAGAGGTGGCAAAAAATTAGTGAGCATTGCACGCACAAAGAAAATCATGTCAATAAGGCCATTCTTGCATAGAGTTATTGGAATGAAGTCTAAAATATGGTAGTCCTTTATACGTTCAATTGCACATTCGACATGAATTCTGAGGGTTGCAATCCTTTAGGTTGCTAGCATTTCCTGTTCACTAAACTGTCCTGATTGATTCATGAAGGGAGAGGCATTCACCTTGACACCTTTCAAGGCTAAAATTTCTTGAATATTGAACCCCCAATCTGCCATGAACTCATCTCCTTGCTGTAATTTGTCAATAAAACCAGATTTACTGGTTATTTCCTTATTAGAAATACAGCCACCATAGAGATCTGAAATACCAACCAATGCCTTGAGGGTATTAGTGTTCTTGTAAGTTGAAAATGTGAGCTGTTGTGCTTCTGGGTTACTAGGTTTTTCTATGTACATTTCAGTTGCAACAATGATTACTGTTGTTCCCTTGTAATTGTTTTTGAAGCATGCAGGCTTGTGTAACTCAATTGTTTGTCTGTCAGGGAATATGTCTAGTTCTTTGAATCTGTGGTACATAAACTTTGTCCGAGTAACAATTATTCGGCTCACAAGACTCTGAGATATTCTAAATCTTGCAGCGAAATCCTCCTCAAGTGGACCAACTTTGTAATGACATAATACAAGGAAAAATTCCTCCTCCACTAACAAGGTCCTTTTTGGGCCTGTCCTCTCTTTTTTTTTTTAGCACTGTTTTGTTCATTGAGGCTGCATTCCTACCTAAAAACCTAAAAACTATGCTGAAAACTTCATAGTTTGGAAACCCAGTATAGAATCTCAACAACTTTGAATTACTCTTAATA